TGTGCCTGTCCTTGGAAATTCAGCGTGTCTTAGAACATACTTTGCAGGTACCTCCGACCTCTTCGTTGTCTGTAGAGGAGGTACTGGACATTCTACAACGGCACATCAAAGGACAGCAGAATGAAGCTCTGCGCAGGAGGGAATTGTTTAGCTGCAGACAGATGGAGGGTGAGACTTTTGACGCCTTTTATGTACGTCTTAAGAGAGCCTCGGAAGAGGTAGAAATATGTCTAGGCCACCACCAGCAGTGCGAGGAGACCCAGTTGAGGCAGGTGATCCTGATGGGTGTTAAGGACGAGGAGCTTGTCCAACGCCTCACCTCCCTCGACTCTTCCTCTTCTCTTCAGGATGTGTTGACGATATGTCGCTCCTATGAGGCTGCCAGGTGTGCCACCTCTGCCATCCGAGCTCCCCCTACAGCTGTACGCGCTGTGTCCCGGTACAAGAAGGACAAGAAGTCTGCTCCTACGCCTTCGCCCACCACGTCCACGCCCGGTTCATTTTGTAACAACTGTGGTAAGCAGCACGGAACACAGGCGTGTCCAGCTGCTGAGTCTACATGCAACAGTTGTGACCGTAAGGGCCACTGGTCACTCACAGTACGGTGCCCAGCCAAACGCGTCCAGTGCAATGTGTGCGGTCGTCTGGGCCACTATGACAAGTGTTGCCCTTCCAACAAACCCAAGGGACAGCGTCGGCGGAAGCTTCAGCTCCCTTCCACCAGAGAGGGCCGCCCACAGTCTTCCAATCAGAAGCATGACGACCCTGGACAACGCTCGAGCCATATTAGGAATGTGTGCTCCCCCCCGCGTCCCAGGACCAAAGTCCCCCAGTACATCAGTGTCATTGTGACCTACCGCAGTGTGTCATCCCGTCTTCAGATGTTGCCCGACACCGGCGCTGATGCTACAGTCATCGGTCCCCAGCATTTGCAATGCTTGGGGCTCTCTCCAAGTGATCTAGGACCGCCCCCCAAGGATCTCCGCTTTATGGCAGATGGTTCACAGATGACCCCGGCCCTGGGTTCACTCCAAGCACAAGTCACCTTTGGCAACAGGTCGTGTCAAGCCTGGATTGATGTGCATAACGGTGTCCCGACTCCTTTGCTGTCCTACAGACATTGTCAAGAGTTGGCCATCATCTCCCAGGACTTCCCCAAACCTATTCTTGAGGTAAAACACGCCAACAGGGTGCAAAAAGGGAGCAGCAACGACCCTGCTGCCGCCCTACCCCTGCCTCTTGCCAGTGACACCTCTCCTTCGGATGCTCGGAAGTACTTCCTGAAGGAATTCAGCGACGTTCTGGTGACCAAGTCCGCTCTGGAATCCAAGCCTCTCAAGAAGATGGCAGGTCCCCCCATGAGGATCCACCTGAGGGACGACGCGAAGCCCTTCGCTATTTACACCCCTCGACTGGTTCCCCTGGCCTTCCGCGAGGCGGTCAAAAACGAGCTGGACTCCATGGTCGCCCAAGAAATTATTGCACCAACCGGCGATGACCCGTCTCCATGGTGTCACCCTATGGTTGTCGTCGCAAAACCTAAAGGTGGTGTTCGGATCACCACTGACCTCTCCAAGCTCAACAGCCAGGTGTCTCGTCCTGCGCACCCTTCTCCCACGCCCTTTGCAGCTATACGCAGTGTGAACCCGAAGGCGCGCTTCTTCACGACGATGGACGCCTTGTGTGGATACTGGCAGATAGAGCTTGCCGAAGAAGACCGACCACTCACAACTTTCATCACCCCGCATGGACGTTACAGTTATTGCCGTGGCCCCATGGGATTCGCCGCTACAGGAGACGCTTTCTGTCTTCGAGGTGATATGGCTCTACAAGGTCTGGCAAACTGCGTGAAAGTGGTCGACGACATACTCGTGTACGACGAGGATTATATGGATCACCTCTGCCGTATCTACGAGGTACTCAACAGGTGCCGGAAGCACTGCATTACCCTAAATGCCGACAAGTTTGTTCTGGCCAGCTCTTCAGTTGACTTTTGTGGGTACACCCTCTCAGGGAATGGTATCGCAGCTGACCCGGAAAAGGTCCGCGCCATCACGGATTTTCCCACCCCTGCTAACCTCACCGACTTGAGGTCCTTCATCGGTCTCGTCAACCAGTTAGCAGAGTTTTCGTCGGACATCTCCGCAGCTGCTCAACCACTTCGCCCCCTGATGAGCCCGAAGAGGACATTCCTGTGGACCCCCGACCACGACAAGGCCTTCCAGCAAGTGAAACAGGCCCTGTCTCGTCCACCTGTCCTCGCCACGTTTGACCCAGCCTTGCCGACAGTTCTGCAGACAGATGCCTCACCCTTGTATGGCGTGGGATACGCCCTACTGCAAGATCATGGTGGAGGGCAGTTCCGGCTCGTCCAGTGTGGCTCGCGTTTCCTCTCTGACATTGAGACGCGCTACGCCACTATTGAGTTGGAGCTGTTGGCTGTGGTTTGGGCGATGTCCAAGTGCAGGTTTTACCTCATAGGCCTGCAACACTTTCACCTAGTGACCGCCTCCAGCGTCTGAAAGAGAAGCTCTCGGCGTACATCTTCACAGCAGTGTGGCGTGCTGGTAAGGAGCTCTGCATCCCTGATGCCTTATCCCGCTCTCCTGTCAGCCGCCCTACTCCAGAAGACCATGTGTTCGACGCCGACCTCGCTCTTTCCGTCAGGACTGTGGTCACTCTCCATGCCGTCCAATCCCTTCGTTCGGACCTGTCACCAGATGACGACAAGGCAATGGAGGACCTTCGAACAGTGGCCCGAGATGACCCTTCCTACGTCCGACTTGTCGAGTGTGTGAGGAATGGATTTCCTAGCAACCGCTACGATCTTCACAACACCCTGCTCCCGTATTGGAAACTCCGCAATGAACTCTACTGCGACGGAGACCTTGTTCTGTACGGAGCACGTGTAGTTGTCCCTGCTGCATCACGTCCCCACGTCTTGGCTCGCCTTCACGACAGTCACCGTGGAGCTGAAGCCACCAAACGACGTGCACGACAGACTGTGTTCTGGCCCGGCATCAACTCCGACATCTCCAATGTTGTCCGTGCGTGTGAGCCCTGCCAATTATTACAACCCAGCCAGCAGCAGGAACCCTTCATGAGTGACGACAACCCCACCCGCCAATTTGAGTCTGTGTCAGCCGACTTTTTCTCTGTGTCAGGAAAGTCCTTCCTTGTTATCATCGACCGTCTCTCTGGTTGGCCGGTTGTCATCAAGTGCGGTAATGACACGACGTCTGCCGCCACCATCAGCAAGTTCCGCCACTACTTCCGTGACGTGGGCGTTCCTGTGCGCCTGCGAACCGACGGTGGGCCTCAGTTCACAAGCCGGGACTTTGCTGTGTTCCTCGATGAATGGGGAGTCCGGCAAGTGTTGTCATCGCCCCATTACCCGCAGTCCAACGGCCACGCTGAGGCTGCTGTCAAATCCCTGAAGCACCTCATCCTTAAGGTGGCCCCTTCTGGGAACATTGACTGCGAGGCCTTCGATCGGGGTCTTCTTGAACTCCACAACACACCTAACTACACCGGACGCTCCCCCGCCCAGGTTTTGTATGGACGCCCCCTTCGTTCTTGTGTCCCTGCTCACCCTCAATCCTTCTCCAAGGAGTGGCAGGCCAAGACAGAGGATTGTGATCGCCGAGCCGCCGAACGTGTTCAGGACGTCGTCGCCCGCTACAACGACCACGCCCGTTCTCTCCCCAGGTTGAGTGTCGGCACCCAAGTCCGTGTTCAGGACCCGACCTCCCTACGTTGGGACAAAGTAGGCGTAGTCATGGGTCTCGGTAGGTCACGGGACTACCAGGTGCGGTTACCCAGTGGTCGTGTGTGGTGGAGGAACCGCCGTTTTCTCCGCCCCGTAACAATGCCTTCTGCTGACCCCGCCACCAGTGTTGAGTCCCATACCCTTCCCAGTGATCTAGTCCCTCGACGCTCAGAACGGATCCAAAAGAAAAGGTCCGCTCAAGACTTTGCTATGAGCGTATAGGGGGGAGGGAGGTGTATGTATATTCTGTATGCTGTATTTATATTATGCTATGTATATTATGTATGTGCTCCATTTATGTATTATTTATTTAGCCTAGCTAGTAGCGTGTGGCAATGTATTTATCAATGTCCCACATGCTTCATTAATGTGCCTGGCGACGTATGGAAGCTGCTAATGTATCACTTGCCATACGTCGTCTATAGAGCAGTTGACAAGCAGACAGGTTGAAGAGCGCTACTCCCCTTGTGTACATATCTCTTATCCAGTAAATCGAACCTACAAAATCTATACAGGTGTTTGTGTTCGCTCCTGTATATTGAACTTATTACCCAGAACATGAACAGCCACATGAAAGTAAGGGACATCTGGCAGTTCATACAAAGCAGAGCGAAGGAGGCAAAAAGGGCGCATACTCGATACACTAGCCTGAGGTACGAGGGAAAAGACCGATCTAGCAAACAAGCCATGACTCTTGTGACCAACGACGTGGGAGAACGAGATTTTCCACTTTGTCATGGCCCTCATCGGCTGCCACAATGCTCAAACTTCCGGAAGTTAACAAAAATGGAAAAAATGGAACATAGTTAAAGAGTTGGGCTATTGCTTCTTGTGCCTAAGGGGCCGGCACCAAGCTAGCAACTGTATGTCTGGCTTCCGCCCATGCGACATCGACGGGTGTGGTAAGGCACATTCAAGATGGTTCCACCTGCCAAAGGAAGGGGCAGGTGTGCCGCCAAGGAAGGCAAAAGGGAACAACCGAGGATTCAAGAGAGAGCGCCAGGACTGTGACTTCGACGATAGAGAACAGAGTGGTGGAACCGGAGGAAGAAAGAATAGAAAGAGAGAGCCCCAAGAAGATGACCAAGGCAATCAGCTGAGGCGGTTCGACCAAGCCGACAACAAGCAAGGAGAGAGGACATATGTGAATTACGTGGATACTACTGTAAGAGGGCGAGATCAATGACTAAGCCAAGACAAGGTCGCGCTCCCACTACTAGAAGTTCAAGTTATGGGAAAGGGGTTTACAGGATCAGAGAGAACCACGGCGCTACTGGACACAGGCAGCGACAGGTCTTACTGTGCCAAAGGACTGGTCGAAAGACTAAGAATACGAGGGAAACCAACATCACTCTTCATAAACACGTTAACCCAAGGGGAACAATGTAACACCACAGAAGTAGATCTGGAAGTAAGAGGCATTAACACCCGGAGAGCGAAGTGCCCCATATCCCTTCCTAAGGTACTAGTACTTGACAGACTGCCACCTTCTTTAGAAAACTCAACAGCTACAGCCCTAGACATAGATGCTTGGGGACATCTTCGAGGACTTGCTCCACTTCCACCAAACAGACGAGTCGCAGAGTTACTGATTGGACAAGATTGCCCAGATGCCCTGACTCCCCTCGAGTGTCGGACGGGGCCGGATGGAGCACCTTTTGCAATAAGGACAAGATTGGGTTGGACGATTAATGGGCCCCTGATGGGCAATTTAACTCACAGGTTTACAACGGAATGTTCCATGCTGACTGCCTCTACAGAAAAAACTCGTTTGGAAGAGCAGGTGAGGCGCTTCTGGGAAATCGAAGCATTACATCAGACCCCGGGAGATGGCTCCCCATCATCGGTAGAGGATAAACGGGTCATCAAGCTTTGTTCGTCGACTGGACAGAGAGTACAGGGACAATACCAATTCCCAATTCCATTCCGACGTCAACCGCCCTGCCTACCTGACAACAGAGCGCTCGCCGAGCGTCGCTTACTGGGACTAAAGAAACGCCTATCGAGGGACACAAGGTTGAGACGACGGTACAAGGAGGAGATGAAAAAATTATTCAATGAAGGCTTCGCCGAAAGGGTGCCACGAAGGCAATTATCGAAGTCCGGTGGAAATAGGTGGTACCTGCCTCATCACCCAGTACTAAACCCCAATAAACCAGACAAGGTACGGATCGTCTTCGATTATGCAGCAGCCTTCACGAAGACTTCACTCAACAACCAAGAGCTCCAAGGACCAGACCTCAACAACAAATTGATTGGAGTACTCATGCGGTTTAGACAAGAGCCGATCGCCCTGATGGCCGACATCGAAGCAATGTTCCATCAAGTGAAGGTAAACCCCGAGCACAGAGACACTTTACGATTCCTCTGGTGGGAAGGTGGAGATTTGACACAAACGCCAATGACATGTAGGATGACAGTGCATCTCTTCGGAGGAGTGTGGAGTCCCTCGTGCGCGGCCTATGCTCTGCAACGGACCTTCCAAGACTTCGGAGATGGGTTCTCGGATGCCGCAAATAGAGCGAAATCAAACTTCTATGTAGACGACCTGCTCCTGTCAGTAACTGAACCAAAAGAAGCAATTATGATATCTCGGCAGTTGCGACATCTTCTATCCCTGGGAGGTTTTAAACTCACAAAATGGATCAACAACGACAAAGAGGTCCTCAACACGATACCACTTGAAAGTCGACATGCTGGAGTGAAGGAAGTGACCCTGGGATGTGAAGACCTACCCACGGAGAGAGCCTTGGGAGTCATGTGGGACCTGACTGGAGACCAGTTTGCAGCAAAGGTTCAGGTTCCCACCCGACCAGCGACAAAAAGGGGCTGACTTGCAGTGGTAAGCTCGGTGTACAACCCTTTAGGATTCATCTGCCCTTTCACCATCAAAGCCAAGCTCATTTTTCAAGACGAATGCAGGCGGAAGAAGGACTGGGACGAAGACATCACCAAGCAAAACCTTCTCAAGTGGTTGCGCTGGCTTGAAGATTTGAAATCACTGCGAAACTTCAAAGTTCCTCGCTGCTACAGACCTGGGGGCCTGGGTTGTGCCACCTCATCGCAACTCCATCACTTCTGTGACGCCTCACAAGTGGCCTATGCAGTTGTAACGTACCTACGGACAGTAGATAATGAAGGTAATGCCATATGTTCTTTCGTTTGTGGCAAGGCTCGTCTGGCCCCTCTCAAACAGCTAACGGTCCCAAGGCTAGAACTCTGTGCAGCAGTCCTGGCGACAAGAGTAGACCAGACAATCAAGCGTGAAATTGGAGTCCCACTTGAAAAATCCGTGTTCTGGACGGACAGTATGATTGTGATCATGTACATTAGCAACCTAGAGAAACGTTTCCATACCTTCGTTGCCAACAGGATCTCAGCTATACATGTACGATCAAGATGGAATCCAACAGAAGATGCTATAAGAGGCATACCTGTTGAAGACATGTTAAAAGAATGCAGATGGATTGATGGTTCTTTTTTTTTGTCTCTACCTGAGAAGTACTGGCCGATAAAACCGGAAATCAGACACGAACTTGAGAATGATCCTGAGGTTAAGCTCGAGGCGGTGTCATTAGCCACAGCAGGAAATAATGCTGATGCCATCATGAAGCTGCTATGGAACAGGTACTCATCATGGCATGCGCTGCAGAGAGGTGTATCCTGGATCAGGCGAGTATCCAGTATCCTGAGACACGACTTTCAGGGTGCAACATCAAAGCCGCTGGAATTGCCTGAACTGCGGAATTCCAAGTGGGCCATTATTCGGTTCCTGCAACAGGAGGCCTATGGTGAGGAGATGAGCCTCCTGCAGCACCGACAACTGCCACGACAAAGTCAACTGTACTGACTAGAGCCATACCTAGGCCAAGACGGGCTGCTCAGAGTAGGAGGAAGGTTACAAGATGCCAAAGAAAGAACTGAACCAATTCTACTGCCCAGAGACCACCCAGTAACCAAACTTATAGCGCGGGAAGCACACGCGGTGGGCGCTGGTCATTCCGGGAGAGAACATACACTGTCCATACTCCGGTGTGAGTTCTGGATAGCCCGTTGCCGCCCTCTGCTCGATAAGATAATAAAGGAGTGTGCCACTTGCCGCCGTAACAATTGGAAGCCCACTAGGCAAAGGGAAGCCATGCTGCCCGAAGACCGGACCAAGCCCGGGGAGCGTCCCTTCACTTACAAGGGCACTGATTGCTTTGGCCCATTCACAGTAAGACAAGGACGAAAGAGTACCAAGCGATATGGCTGCATATTCACCTGTCTAGCTACTCGTGCAATGCACCTGGAGGTGTTGGAGTCTCTAGATACAGATGCACTCCTAAACACTACTGTCCTCTTCATCGCCAGAAAGGGTACGACTCCGAAACGTATTCGTTCAGACAATGGCGCCAACATGGTCGGGGCTTGCAAGGAACTCCGTGCGGCAGTGCGTAGTTGGAGGAATGATGAACGCATAAACAGACACTTTCAGAAGAAAGATATAGAATGGGTATTCAACCCTCCAGCGGCTTCACACATGGAAGGAGTCTGGGAACGGCAAATCCGAACAGTCAGAAAGGTTCTCAGAGCAATTGTGGGAACCCAAGTCCTGGATGAATATCGACTGTAGACGCTATTTTGTGAAGTGGAAGCAATCATAAATAATCGACCCATCACCCCTGCCTCAAGCGACGTGAGGGACCTGGAAGCGCTTACACCAGCCCACATCCTCCACGGTGGCCCACACGCTGATCTGTCACTAGGAGGATGTCTTCTGAAGGACTCATATCAACGACGGTGGCGGCACGTGCAGTTCCTAGGAGACCGCTTCTGGAAACGCTGGGTGAGGGAGTACCTTCCACTACTCCGCAAAAGACAGAAGTACATAGAACCAACCCGAAATCTACAGGAAGGCGACCTCGTCCTCGTCACTGGGGAAAATCTTCCTCACAACAAATGGCCATTGGGCAGGGCCACGGCAGTGGTCCCAGGAGCTGATGGTCTGGTGCGCCAGGTACGTGTGTAAACAGTATCTGGGGAGTTCCGAAGGCCAGTGACCCGTGTATGCCTTCTTGAACACGCCACACTGTAAATCTTGGGCGATTGCCCAGCGCCGGGAGTGTTATCGCCGCTGGCTTTATCGTTGGTGTCAACAACCATGTGCCTCCTCCACCCCACACGCGGCCTGTTACCACACCAGATGTAGCGACTGGGGGGTGTGTTTACCACCGGAGTGTCATCACCAGTGGTGTGAGCGCTGAGAGGGCGTCATGGATCTCATGACACAGATCACCCTCTCGAGTGATCCCCCCCACCACGCGACCTGTTGCCTTGACAGATGTGGCAGCTGGCTGGGGGGCGCCGGGAGTGTCATCGCCACTGGCGTAAGTGCTTGCATCGGCGGGAGTGTTTTCACCGCTGGCGTCAGTGCTGACGTTTTTACTGCCTTACCCAACAAAGATTAGGGGGTAAGCGGTGTTTACGGTGGCGTGGCCACCTGGACTCTGTACCACCGGGACCGTCATCACTACTGGCATAAGTGCTGGCATCGCCGGGAGTGTTTTCATCGCTGGCGTCAACACTAGTGTCAGTGCTGACCTTTTTGCTGCCTTACCCAACAAAGATTAGGGGGTGGGCAGTGTTTACGGAGAAGAGATCATGACTGCTAATGTATGGTTTAAAAGGCGGTGTGGCCACCTGGACTCCAGGAGACTGCCCCCTCTAGTGATGCTGTGAGGATCAACACTTTGCTAGCAGTAGTGAACAACAACTCCTAATCCTGGCCGAGTTTTGTACTGAAACAATTTACACAGAACTATCTTCCCTTGGAACACCATACTGGTTCGCATTGACCCGCACTTGTAAGTACAGCCAAAGTGATGACATACCCCTCAGTACTGAAATATTGTGGACTAATTATGCCCACTCGTTCCTGTCTTATCTGGAGCAATAAGACAACGCGGAATGAAGTGTAGCTAAGATTAATAGAGTTATGAACTTTGTATCATGTCATTATGCTCAATAATCAATTATGATTAAGATAAATTGTGTGGGACTAACTAATTTTGTATCAGAAGGATCACCACGTAATACTAATGAACGCCTTGTTGTCTGCAGGTTTTGACCACATCAATAAATATTGAATGGGTCAAAAGACGGGTTTCAATCATTCCCTTCGACTTGCCCGTCACCTGAACGTCCTTAACTAAGGCGTTTACAGTAATATATAAAGAAAAAGAGATGATAGTGTCAAACAAACAAAGGCTGAACAACTGGGCCAGCACAACACAAACTCAAGTAACTGGAATCTACTTAGCCACAGACTACCTCAAAGAAAATGGAGGTGGGGTGATATTCTGTGACTCTCAAAGTGCTTTGAAATCAATGAACAGCCCGTCAGGCTTTATGTCTAAAGTTGTATGTGATATTAAAAGGAATGTGATAACTGCCAATGAGAACAACTTTCGTATCGAACTTGTGTGGATTCCGTCCCTTGTTCGAATCAGGTATCATGACCGTGCTGATAGACTGGCCAATGAGGCATGTAAGAAAGAAAATGTTGACCGTGACCTAAGCCTGTCCAATGCTGTAATTACAAACATTCAAGTCAGAATCATGAACTCTGATCTAGAAGAAGTGAGAAATGCAGAGAGACCTGACAGTTGTAGCACTAGTAAATATGACAAATTTTGTGACAATAGGTACCGGTATGGCCAGCATAAGGACAGAACCAGACAATGTGTTGTAGTCGTGGCCTGAATTAGAGTAGGATACAGACACATCTGGCAAGTTAGTAACGCTGTACCCATACCGGAACACTCAGCATGTAAACTTTGTGATAAATCTCTGAAGCATACACTTGAACACTATGTTATTGAATGTGACACTGTCAAAGACTTCAGGCCACCTGACTTATTGTATCTTGAACTATGTAATTACTTCATTGAATCAGATGTGCTTGAGGACATTCTTGCTGTTTATCCCAAATTTGCTAGCCCACACTGATTAGTTTTCAATTAGAATATGACTCCAATGTATGTGATCCACTGACCTATATATACTGCTAATGAATATGATATATTTCCTTCTTTGTGTACGAACCTCTGTCCTGCATGGCAGTGAACAGTGGCATTACCCACATGAATCTGACCTATATATATTGTTGCGAGTTGGGGATTTAGAAATTGGTTTAGAATATAGTTAAAAGTCTACCCAGATCCCAACAGGCAACAACAATAAAAAAACTAAACAAACAAAGACAATCGGACTAAAAAAGGGTAGACAAAGGATGGGAGTTTTTGTTGTGTATAATAAAGTACAATAAATTCCTTAACAACATATCCAGCTTTCTATAATTTACCCTTAACCATACTTAACTTAAACATATGCAACATTGGCTTAACAGTATATACATATTTATACAACATACAACAATCTGAAGCAAGTGGAGGTGGGAGGTATTATTGGGTTACAATACTCAAGTGCGGTGCTGAAGTGTCTGACGAGTAGGGCTGAGTATTGAAGATGGTAGGTAGTCACTGTGCCGTAGGTTTCCAGGATAGGTAAACCAAGTGTGGTCACTTCCCAGAGTGAACTGAACTCTCCTCGATCCGGAGCTGATGAGGAAGAGTTGTAGTAGGTGACGCAACAACCAGGATATTGAGAAAGGAAACCCGGAGTGGTGACTAAAACTAGTCATACTCGGGTTTCGTCCCTAGATGGCGTTGCTCGGTAGTGCTGGGTAGTTAGATCATGACACAATAGATGGCGTGGTTCGTAATACACCCCCCTCCAAAGACCTCCGTAGTGCGGGCGCGAAGGAGGTGATCACCTGGTGCGTCTGGAGAGTAGCTGCTGCATTTCCACTGGAGCTCGGGATAAGGAGTCCGCAATCAGGTTGTCCACCCCCTTTATGTGCCGGACTTGTAGATTATAGGGCTGGGTGAGGAGAGCCCAGCGGAGGATTCGCTGGTTGGAGGTCTTGTTGGTTTGGATGAACGTGAGCGGGTTATGGTCGGTGAAGACTAGGGTGGTTTGTGGGCGAGATTGGAGGTAACATTCAAACTTCTTTATTGCCAACACCAGAGCCAGGGCCTCCTTCTCTATGGTCGAGTAGTTGGTCTGATGTTTTTTCAACTTGGCGGAGTAGTATGCCACAGGGTGAAGGACATCAGTGGTTGGGTCGGGTTGTAGGAGCACAGCCCCCACTCCGACACCGCTAGCGTCGATTTGCAGATGGAAGGGCAAGGTGTAGTCAGGTGGGTGGACTACAGGCTTGGAGGCAAGGAAGGCTTTGAGGCGGTGGAAAGACTGGTCGCACCTCTGGTTCCAGATGTAAGGGACCGCAGAACTGGTAAGGTCTGTGAGGGGTCCGGCCACGCTGGAGAAGTTACTGCAGAACCGGCGGTAGTAGCCGCACATCCCCAGGAAGCGCATGAGTTCCTTCCTCGTCCTTGGAGTGGGGAAGGACAAGATGGCTTTAACGTTTGCGTCCTTGGGTTTCACCATACCATGCCCAACGATATGTCCCAGGTAAGTCAATGAGGCCCGGCCAAAAGCAGATTTAGCCAGGTTTATGGTGAATCCAGTCTCTTGCAGTCGTGTGAACAGTATCTCCAAACGCACCAGATGTTCGTCCCAGCCGTCCGACACCACCACCAGGTCATCCAGGTAGGCGAACGTCCCATCTAGGTCCTGAATCAGGTAATTGATTGCCCTGTGGAATGTGGCCGGAGCATTAGAAAAGCCAAACGCCATAACCAAATATTGAAAAAGACCAAATGGAGTTATAAATGCTGAGATTATTTTTGCCCTATCCGTGAGTCCCACTTGATAATATCCTTTCATCAAGTCCACCGTTGTAATAAATTTTGCACAGCCTATGCTGTCTATTATATCTTCAATCAAAGGTAAAGGGTAGGAGTCTGAGACAGCGACCTGGTTCACTTTACGATAATCGGTACAGAAACGAAAACTGCTATCGGGTTTTGTAATGAGAAGGCAAGGTGAAGCCCAGCGGGAGGTACTAGGCTCAGCTAAGTTATGTTTTAACAAAAAATCTACCTCCTTTTTCATACTCTCTCTTTTTTGTGGATTTAGCCGATATGCTGATTGCCTAATGGGTTGTACATCATCTGAGATTAGCTTAATATCATGTTTAAGTATATTGCAAAACCCTGGGAGGTCTGACGTGACTTTAGGAAATGTTGATAATAACTTAGTGAGATCTTTTGCTTGAGATGGATTCAGAACAGAAAAATACTCATCCAAGTTGTTGAGTATGTGACTGTTAGCAGGGTTTTCTTTAGGTAGAGGGAAGTCTAAATTCTCCAATAGGTCCATGTCATCTGTCTCCGGCTCCGGCTCTGACAAAGCCGTATGCAATACAGGTAGGCTTATAGCCTCTGGGATGTCTTCCTCTGACTGCCTGGAATGGTAAAGTTTCATGAGATTAATGTGAACAAGTTGTGAATCTTTTCTGCGATCAGGAGTATGGACTATATAGTTGAGGGGAGATAGCTTATTAGTAACTATATAGGGACCAGTAAACTTGCTTTTAAGGGGAGAGCCTGGAATGGGTAGAAAGAGTAACACTTTGTCACCTGGAGAAAATGATCTTTCAACTAATTT